TCTGCTCAGCCCAACCCCCACCGGAGAGTCCTAGGGCTGCATATGGGCAGAGCGAGGATGCTGTGGGCCATTCCTGCAGATCCCAAACCTTTCTGCAGGAGTCTCTTCTCTCTGCCTCTCACACTTGAAACAGAAGCTAAAGACTCTGAATGGAGAAATTTCAGGACTCTGTCCTCCCTCCACGCGCACCACCCTCCAGATACAGGTCTTGGGAGGAAGTGGGAAGCTAGGGCAGATCCCCCAGGGCCAAGTGGGGCTTATCAGCAAACCGAAGCTTGCAGTCTGGGCAGCCTGGAAGCCAGTGCAGGTGAACAGGGTAGAGGAAGAGCTGAGAGGCTGAGCTGGCATTTGGGCAAGCGAGGGAGTGTGCACAGCGGCGGCCACCATCCCCAGGGTCACCCCACCCCCACCCCAGCAGCAGCAGCAGCCACCACCTTAAATCTGCATCATCTAAGAGTTTACGAAGAACTTTCTAAACGTCCCTATCTATGGGGGGGGGGGTGTACAGCGCCGGCGGGTGGGGGGCGGGTCAGGATCGCAGCCTGCAGCCATCTCGAGGTCCCCCCAGGCCAGGCCGCGGGGTTCCTGTCACTTCCAGTTCCTTGGGGAAGTGAAATGGGGAGAAGAGGCAGACTGGGCTCGTGCCTCGGGGGGTGGCAGCTCATAAAAGCCAAGAATCTGGGACTGTCCAGGGGCTAAAGCAGCTGCGGGGGCCGCGCGCGCGGCGCGGCTGGAAAGGTGCGACCCTGGAAACTCCCCTCCGGGGCGAGTCGGGGGCGCCTGGAAGGGGCGCGGGCGGCGCAGGGCGCTCCCAGCTCCCGCGGTGGAGTCGGAGTCGGCGCGGGCTCTTCGGGGTTCGGAACCTCCGCGCTCCCAGGGCGCCCCACGCGGGGTGGGGGCGAGGCGGCGCCGCCCCGCCCCGGACGCCCGGCGCGCGCCTCTGTCCCCGCGGCCGCCCAGCCCGGCCCAGGCAGGCGCGCCCGCGCAGGTGCGCCCAGGGCCGGCCGGGCCGGAAGGTGCGCGCCCCGCCCCGCGTCCCGGGTCCCCGCGGGAAAGTGAAAGTGTCGGGCCCCGGAGGGCCGGCGCGGGGGGCGGGGCCGGCGCGGACCTGGGCGCGGGCGCCGGGGACTCCAGGGGCCATGGACGGGCTCGGCCGCCGCCTCCGAGCCAGCCTGAGACTGAAGCGCGTCCGCGGGGGTCAGTGCCGGGCCGGGGCGCAGGGCGCGCGGGGCGCCGGGGCCGGGGTGGAGCGGGCGGCGCGGGGGGCCAGGTGAGGGGCGAGGGCGCAGGTGGAGCGGGCCGGGGCAGGTGGGGACGGGGCGGGCGGTCAGAGGAGTGGCCGGGCCTGTGGGGCGAGGGGAGGCGGCGGCTGGCCCTGCGGAAACAGTTGTGGGGCCCCGGGGACACGTGTCCTTTCAACCAGGAAACTTGTGCAATCGCTGGGTGCCTGGGGCGCGCGGGCTGAGCGCCCTGGGGAGACCCCGCCCCGCGCGGCTGCCGCGTCCGGGGATCCTGGGAACTCGCGCTGCGGGGGGCGGCGGGGTGCTAGGAGCCGGTCCTGCCCCACAAATAGCCGCCGGCTCCAAAACTGGCTTGTGGACAGTGTGGCCAGCCCTGCCCGAGGAAGCCTGGGGGCCAGAGATAGAGCCTGCTCACACGCCACAGTGTGAACCCCACGAGTCACACCGCCCCCACCCGAGACCCCTCATCAATGAAGTGACTGATCCCCTCCTTTCTGGGGTTGTGGGAATTAAGTTAGAAGTCAATATAGTTTCCTTTTTTTTTTTTTAAAAGATTTATTTATTTATTTATTTATGCAAGCCCTGGGTACAGTCAGAAGCACGGGAGGGTGAGAGAATTCACCAGAGCCAGAGCGGGGAGCAGAGCAGGCAGAAGGACCGAAGCACACTGCTGAGGGGAGCAGCGGGCGGCAGGAGGGGTCTGCGCGCCATGCGGGACCCTCCTCCGGTGGCCGGGGAGCAGCCGGGGATCGAACCGGCGCTGCAGAGGCCGCGGGCAGCTTCACAACCCAGCGCTCAACCGCTGCGCCACGGGGGAGGCCCTCCCCCCCTTTTTTTTTTAAACAGCGGCGCTGGACTTTGGAAGGAAGGCAATTAGGACTACTTTTTTTTTTTTTTTTAAAGTATTCAGTCAACAAATGCTTATTGCTGTTTCCTAGCCAGTGCCATGACCGAGCTAACACAACCCTTAGATGCTTTGCCCAGAGGTCCCCTTTCTGCGGAGAAAAGAACAGATTGGAAAGTAAAGTCATTTGCAGAACCCCCATTCCTTCTGACATTGGGGTTGAACGAGACCCCCCCAACCCACACGCACATTCTAAGCCCAGATTTGGGGAGCTCAGGTGAGAATAGTGTTCCTTCTGCAGCACCCCCTGCCCCTCCCCCAGCCCTGGCTGTTCTCCCTGAATGCAGGTTTCCAGTATCTGCTCACCCCACCTGCAGGAAGCAGAGAGGTCAGAGGCCTGGAGCTGTGCGGTGGCTGAGAGAAGGCGGGGTGGGCAAGCATCCTTTCTTCTCTGGAGAGCCCTGCCTGGTTTTTCCTGGTCCCCCTCAAACCTCAAAAGCGAGTGTGGATGGACGAGACCTGCTCCCTGTGGCCGCAGGAGACATGGCCCAGGGGAGACATTCCCACCCACCCCAGCCCCCAAGGGAGGAGTGAGACCGTGGAGGAACTGTGTGATGACCAGCAGCCCAAACCAGGACCCTGCGCTCCGGCTGGCGGGCCCAGGAGAGCTGGCGGGCCCAGGAGAACGTGCCTCCTCATAGGTGCCATCCTCCACCCTCCACTTCCTGGGGCTTTGCTTCCTCATCTTGTCCTTTTGCCCCCAGGACAGCTGTGTGATTGGAGGGTGTGTGTGTGTGTGTATCCTGCTGGGGGCAGAGCCAGGGGGGGTGACCCTAGCTTGAGAACAGCTGAGCTGGAAGAGGGAGGGTCACCTTTCCAGATCAAGGTTCAGAACATCTCACCTGTATTCTAGACAGTTCTGGGACTTTCCTCGGGTGATTATGGGAGGCGTTTCCTTGTGGAGGAACAAGTGTAACCAGACTCCTGACTTCCCTGGAAAGGGTGGCTCTGTCTTCAACTAAAAACAAGACAATAATTCTTTTTTAGGGCATTGGCGATTCAGTGAGATGACTTAATTAAAACACATCCCTTTTGTGGACAGTAGTTTTCTGTTTCTCTCTTCTTCCAGAGGGCTGCTACTCTTGACAACTCCCTTGGAAAGATTTGAGAGAACCGTCCTTTGGATTTCTTGGTTCTTAAGTCTAGTGACTGTTTTTGAGTTTGTGAGTTTTGCTATGCTCATGGCTATCTTGATAAAGCAGGAGGAAATAAGCTGAAAATGGAGGATTTGGGGAAAGGAATAATTTCCCGTGGTTCCGGAATGATGAGCAAAAAAATTGGGGGATCTGAAAGTTCTTTGCAAAGAAGAGGCATTGCACACTTGAGGGATTTTGGTGTGTACCACACCCATAAGGCAGGGCCATGGCCTTGGACTGCAGTCATTTCTACTGTGCATTCTGGAAGTCCCTGAATTACTCTGTGCCTCAGTCTCTCCAACTGTATCAGGAAGATGCTTGCTTCTCAGACACGTGCTAAGAATGGTGCAACAAGTCTGTGCAGGCTGTGAGTAAGGCGTGACAGCAATTCCGAATGTTCCAGCTCACTGTTCTCACCGGCACAGCACTCATAACATCCTTATGTACCATGACGGGGCTCTCCCAGGAGTCATAGCTTCGCCACTGAGTGCTAGCTTTTTCTAGTCCCACAAAAGCCAAGTCTGGAGCTCCTACGAGGCAGCTATCTCCCCTGTGCCAGCACCCAGAGCACTGCTAAATCTTGGCAGGAGAGGAAGATACTGGCACAAACCTTTCTGCCTCCCGGTTCTTAGGTCTTCTTTCCTGGCAAAAGTCCTCTTTCACCCTGTGCATTTATTCTTTCCGGGGTTTATGCGAAATCCTAGGTGATTTATTGCTATTCTTTCTCCCCCTGTCTCTAGACACAGGCTCTTAACACCTTGAGAGCCCCAGGGGCCAGCTGCTCTGCCTTTAGCTTGAGCAGAACTGTTGACCTGGCCCAAGAGGGAAAAGAGATTGAGCCGGAATGGGGGTGGGGTGGAGATGCTTTCCACTGCCACCCGGCGACCCCCGGTCTGCTGACTCAACCAGTCTCTTTCTGTAGGCCAGAGAGAATGTCCTGAGTCAGTGCTTCCTACTTGGGAAGAGGGATTCTTGCTGGGGCCTGGATTAGGCCCCAGCAAGAAAAGCCTGTATTAGCCCAGGACATGTTGCAGGAGGCGAGGGATGTGCCACGTGGATAGGCAGGAAGTCTGCCTCTCCCAGCTCAGAGGTGGCCTTTGCTCTGTAATTCAGCAGCTGGTGAAGAGGCTTTTAGGTTCATGTTGATCTGCAGGACTCCTTTTCTTGCTAGAACATCTTCTCCATTTAGATCATGTCTATTTACCCCTTTATTCGGGGAGGTGGCGCGATCCCGACCGTGGGCCTGATGCTCTTGCGGGCAGGCCTGAGTTGCAGAAGTTCTCTTGGGCAGCGGGGGCCTTGCAGGAGCTTTCTGCGCTGTTGAGCAAGTCAAGAAGTGAAAGGTCAGGAATCTGTATCGCAGAGATGTAAGATCCCTGTCTGTGGCCAGCGCCTGCTGTTTCCAGTCATCTGTGTGGTCCCGAGGAAGTTACTAGCCCCCTTGCACAGCCCGCAGCCCAGAAGTCAAAGCCCAAGCTTGCAGGTGTTTGCTGTGACCTTTCTCTCACCACACCCCGAGGCTCTTGGGAGGAGCTGAGGTCTGAGCTGCAGTGCCAGGATGCTGCCTCTGCTGGTGCAGGCGCTAAGCCGCCTTGCTGGGTCACGTCACTCACAATCTTCTTGCTCCAGCAGTGAGTGCACAGCATGGAAACTGCTCTGCGCTTTCTGGAAGATGACGCATGGCTTGGCTTTGTAGCGTTGTGGCGGGAGACTGAGGTGGCAGCCCTTTTCTCGGGCTGCCTTTAGCTGGTCTGTGTTGGAGGAGAAGGGACGACTCCATGCGCCGCAGGCTCGAGAAGATGGAAGGACAAGTGATAGGCGGGATGCTCAGGTTCTTCCGAAAAAAACAGCTGCCTGGACTCCGAGCAGGTCTGGACTGGATCACCTACTTCCTTTCTTCCGGGGTGACCCTCTTAGATGGGGCTGTTCTTCCTCGAAATGTTTCTTCCTCTTCTTCCTTTTGTATCTTGACCTCCACTTGGTCCCCCATGTGACTGGGCTGGAAGTTTCCCCTGGTGGTTTGTAGAGTGGGCCAGACCTCTGTGGGGTTGGTGTGGTCACAGGCCACATGGCCCTTGGGCCTCTTCTCTCAGTGAATACAAGTCTGCTCGGGCATGCAGTTCCGGGTGCTGAGCACCCTTGGGGAGGCAGAGTCTGTGTGTCCTGGGGCTAGCGCCTCCCGGGCGGCCTCCAGTACTTTTCCTTGGCTTCCAAATCAGTGGACTCTTTCTTCCTCTTGGCGCCATGTGGTTTCACGTCTCCCAAGCACAGAAACTGCCTGGTTGGCTCCGATCCTATCTGTGACCCAAGATGCCGGGCAGGCTCCGAGGACCTCAGTGTGTGCAAGGCGGCCTTGAGGGGCAGAAGTTGCCCAGAGTCTCGTAGACCTCACTCGTGAACAATGAGATACCGAATGTGCCTTGTGTCTTGCTTTCAGCACCTTCCCAGGACAATGTGGGGGCAGCTGGAAAGGAACCGGAAAGGACCCAGGAGTACAATCTACCCAACTTTGCTGGAGGACAGCACTTCTTTGAGTACCTTCTCGTGGTTTCCCTCAAAAAAAAGCACTCAGGGAATGATTATGAGCCCACAATCACCTACCAGTTTCCCAAGGTAAGGACTGAAATAGGTTCCAGGGGAGACAGAGCGCTGGGACTTTTGAGAGGTGGAGGGGAGGGTGCCCTCTCCCCACCCTGCGAGGACTTGAATCTAGAAATGCCCTGAGCTGGCTGTTTCCTCCCTAGCCCAGCCCTGTTTTCTCTTATCACCCACAGAATCTAGGTCTGACTTCTTTGAGAAGCCTAGCTGGGAAACTAGGCTAGTGCTTTTGCCCCTGTAGAAACACCTAGTTCCTCCAAATTCCATCCTCAGTCCCCCCTCTTGGTGGATAAGCTTACCTTCTGCCAGAGTCTTGGAGGAACCCCCTCCCTGGGCTGGGCAGGGGAGTCACACAGCTGGGGGGGCAGGCTCAACCCATGGCCACAGCCCAAGTATCAGGTTCCTTCTTGTCTGATCTAGCATGGGGCTGGGGGAGGGCATACTTTTCCTTAGCCCTGAGGGTGTGGCCACCGAGCTGGTGGCTTCTCTTCTCAGATGTGGTATTTCTTTGACGTGGTCCTTCTGGAAAGCCAGGCCATCTCTGGGTCTTTCTGTATTCGTTGTGGCCCTGACCCCATTCCTGACTGTATAGCTTTGCAGGATGGTCAGTCAGCTTCATGCAGTTCTGGCCAGGTAGAGCTGTTTCCGGCCTGGGGTCATTGTGGCCAGACCCAGACCCAATGTGCAGAATGAAGTCTACAGGCAGAGGCTCTCTGAGTCTCAAATCAGCAGAGAAGCTACTCTCAGGCTACTAGAGCCCCAGAAAGCCACCAACCCTCAGCCCTTCCTGCCTCTACCCCCATAATCCACTCATCTCTTTTCCTATTCCCGTAGCGGGAGAACCTGCTTAGGGGCCAACAGGAGGAGGAGGAGCGGCTGCTTGGAGCCATCCCCTTGTTTTGCTTCCCAGATGGGAATGAGTGGGTCCCACTCACTGAGTATCCCAGGTAACTGCTCAGCCCTGGGACAGGAGGCTCGGGGGCTGGGGAGAAGGGACGGTGTGAGCCATGTGGTTCCGGGGCCCCTTCACCTCGTGTGTGTGCTGACTCGCCCCAGCTCCCCTCCTGATGCCGAGGGCTGGAATTGATTCATATATAAATGTCTTGCCTGGGGTTCCTCAATCAAGGCTCTTAGCTTACGGCGTTGGCCAGTCACCTCTGTCCACACATGGGGGAGACTCTCCCGACTGTGAGAGTAACTGTGTTTTGACTCTGCCATGGGCACAAGCTCGTGACCTCAGGTCGGCCCTCTGGCCGGCGCCTTCCAGCACGAGCCCTGGGTTGGACAGCACGAGCCCTGGGTTGGACAGCACGAGCCCTGGGTTGGACTGCCCAAGTTCAGACTTTGGCGTTCCCACTTATGGCCTGATCTTGGGCAAGAAACACCTTCTCAGATCCTCAGTTTCTTCATCTTTAAAGTGGGAATAATCACTGAACCCGGCTCAAAGGGTTGGCTTGACACCAGGAAGCACTTAAGTTACTGGTGTTATTATTGCCCTCGCGATTAGTCAGCAGCTCCCCTTATCCCTCTGACCCGCCCTCCACCCCCACTGCACTCCTCTGGCGCTGACCTTCCTGTTCTAGAATCTAGGGAGACCGTACAAACCAGGTCTTGTCTGCTCTTCCAGGGAGACCTTCTCCTTCGTTCTGACCAACGTGGATGGGAGCAGGAAGATTGGATACTGCAGGCGCCTCTTGGTCTGTGCTGCTCAGAACTGGCCCCTCATCTCTGCAGCCTGCTCTTCTCCGGGCTCGAGCCTCAGCTGCAAAAGCCAAGGCTCCCTGGCAGTGCTGCTTATGGGGACCACTGCCCAGCCCCCACTGCCACGTCAGTGTAAACCCGCAAGAATTGGGAACATGCCCCCTGGCTTCCGTCTTTGCGCACCTTAGCTTTCAACAGCTCCCCTCTGTGGGAGGCTCCCAGCCCCTATCACCTTGGCCCCTGGAATCTGAGAGCACACACTGGGATTTGGACAACTAGGTTCAATTCTTGGGTCTCAGGAGGCTTCTTCAAGCCACTTTTACAGTGTCACCTCCCTAGCCATTCCCTCATCGGTACACACTTGCTCACTCTTTACTGACCCCCGTGGGTGGTGCTGGCACTGATGGTGGTGGTGCTGGCAGTGAGCCCACCCAGTCCCCTCCAGGTCACCTTTTTTTTTTTCACTTTGGTGCCCATAGTGTTGCCTTTCCACTGAATGAGTGGGGCCTCTGACAACCAGGCCTTTCTCCACGAACCCCCTTCCACAACCACCAGCCTCGTGCCCCATCTGTCCCAGTGGGTGAGTCCCCTGGGGAGCTGTGGCACTGAGGGGGCCTCTCTGTCCCTCCGCAGCCGGCCGGCGGTGGCCCTCGCCTCCCTAAGGTCTACTGCATCATCAGCTGCCTCGGCTGCTTCGGCTTGTTCTCCAAGGTAGGGGTGGAGCAGGATTCCTCGGGGCCTGTTCAGCCTGTTTGGCATCAGGTCCACCTGGCAGCCTGCCCGCCTGTGCTTCCTGGGGCCTCTGCAGAGCTGCTGCTTCACAGCTGGGGTCGCTGGGTCACCCTTGGGGAAACTGAGGCAGAGTGCGGCTGTGGCTCAACTTGATCTTAGGGGCAAGTGGAAGCTGAACTTTGGGGACTGTCTCCCTTGCAGAGGGAACGCTGCTCCCACCCTAGTCAGGGGAGAGAGAGCTGGAGAAGGGCAGATGGGAGGAGCCCAGGCTAGAAGGTCGGGAGATGTGTGCCTAGAGGTCTGTTTCCTCATCTGTCAAATGCACAGAATGACCCCTCCTCACCTTCCTCCCTCAAAGGTCGGGGTGCGGCTCAGGGGAGGTGACAGGTGAGAGAGGCAGAGCTCTAACCCAGATGCCCTCCAGCTCCTTGGAGGTGGAAAAGAAGTTGAGGGCACCGGCACTTCTGCCCAAGCTAATCTGAGTGTCTGTCCAGCTGGGGGTTGGGGGGGGGGGCGATCAGCAAGGAATCCTCAGAGAGCTTGGGGCACATCTCGGTGGCCAGGGGAGGGCTCTGTGCCCTCTGCGCTGGGCAGGCCCTTGGAAGATGAAGGGAGGGAGCTCCCCTGGGTGACTGGGGTGGCGCCCATCACGTGCAGGCGCCATCAATAGCAGGCGATTCGTTGTTAGGTTTTTGGGGAGTCAGAAGCTACATGTGGGCTTTTGGCTGGACTTTTGGCTGGGGGTCAGCGCCCTAGTCTTGGGTGTTCAGGGGGCAGCTGTACTCTGGGGTGACTCCCTGGGCAAGGTAGTCACCATGGGAAGACCATGGCTTGGTAGAGGCAGGAAGAAAGGAAGGCCAGAAGAAATGGAGTCTCTGTGCAGGAGATAAACAGCAGATTGTCTGGCGGGAGACCAGTCCCCTGCAGGGAGGGGAGGAACCAGTCGGTGGAGGAGCCCAGAGGATGTGTAGACGTGGCTGGACCAGTGGGGAGCCTCGTGGGAGGTCTCTGCCGCACCCCCGGGAGCCCCTGTGAGCCCTGCCTCCCGTGGGTCCTCTCCCTGCAGATCCTGGATGAAGTGGAGAAGCGGCATCAGATCTCCATGGCCGTCATCTACCCGTTCATGCAGGGCCTCCGAGAGGCCACCTTCCCGGCTCCTGGGAAGACCGTCACCCTCAAGAGCTTCATCCCCGACTCTGGCACCGAGGTGGGTTAGCAGCCTGGGCGGGGCCCTTCCTGCCAGGAGAGGGTGGGCTTCTGAGGCACCAGCTTAGGATGCAGGGGCTGGGGCTTGGTAGAATTATTGGCAGAACTGAAAATTAAACCCACATTTTCTGATCCTGATGCTCACAAGGACCTAGTCTCCATTTAAGCAAACGAAACTTTCACTTGTGATAAATAAAATCCCATCAGCTTGGGTTCCTGGTGCTAGAATGGACTTCGCCCCCCGGGCCCAAACTGCTGCTGGCCCCCAGCCCCACCCTGACCCTCCTGTGTCCCTCCATGACGGCCTCCATCTGTCTCTTATCAGCCCCACCCCTGGCTTCCCACCCTTCCAGCATAGGGATGCCTTTGTTTGAAGGCACTAAGCAGGTAGAACATTCTTTTAAGAATCTCAGTCCTGACCCCTTTTACTCTGGATAATCTCTGTGTCCTTCTGGACCGTGACTTCCCTCTGTAAAAAACAAGGGCTGGAATAGGCTTTTTTGCTTAAAAAAATAAGTGTGGAGTGCCGCTGTGAAGCAAGGTCTGCTGTTTTCTGAAAATATAAGGAACGTGGCCCCTGGCCTTGTGGAGCTGAAAGTCCAGGGGGAGAAACAGACATTAAAGGAACAAAGCATCAAAATGAAATTAAAAATTGTATGATTGTGATGAAAACAACAGGATGCTACATGAGAAAATGAGGGGCAGGGCCTCCCTGGTGGCACAGCCGGTTGAGTGCCGTGCTGTGAAGCTGTCCACAGCCCCTGCAGTGCTGGTTCGATTCCCGGCTGGCCAGGGAGAAACCCACATGGCACAGCAGACCTCTCCTGTCTTGCCCACTGCTCCCCTTAGCTGTGTATTTCGGTCCTTCTGCCTGTTCTGCTCCCTGCTCTGTCTCTGGTGAATTCTCTCACCCTCCTGCACCTCTGGCCTGTACCCCAGCTCTTGTATAAATCTTTAAAAAAAAAAAAAGAAAATGAGGGACAGACATGCACCATATGAGGCGGCCAAGGTGGCTTCTGAGCCTGTAAGGAGTAAAGGGCCGAGGGCCAGAGTGGGCAGGCCTGTGAGGGGCCTGTAGGGGGCAGGAATGGCCACAGTGCAGGTTTTCTGATCCAGCAGATGGACAAAGGAGAAGTCCTAGAGAGAGTCCTGGAGCCCTCAGTGACTTTTGCAGGCTTTTAGTGGGATTCACCATGTACACAGCAGGCAGGGGTGCTGGGGGGCGGGAGGCTGGCAGGCCTCCCAGCCCCCAGCAAGTCTTCACTCTATCTGGGCTCTCCGGCGTTTTCTCGTGGTCTTGTTCTCTGTTGCTCTCGTGGTTTTGCTTCTGTTTGTTCTGTTGGCGTCCCCGTGACGCTGCCCTTATAAATTCCATGTCTCTGCCCAGGTGTACCCACTTAGGCATTCCCACACCCTATTCCAGGTGCCCGCCATCAGGCATGCATTCGGGACCGCAGGGATCCCTCATCAATCCTAATGGCGGGAGGGCAGAAAAGCCTGATATCATTTACTTAACCTACAGGCCTCAGGCAGGTGTTGATGTGGAGAAGCACTGTGAGGAAGGTGGGGTGCACTCAGCAAGGCAGGGCCTTGTGGGCCACACTAGGGATGACACCCCACAGAGCAGAGGGAACCAGAGGTGGGCCTTCAGCAGGGAAGAGACATGGTCATTAATGCCGGTGGGCAGAAAGCAGTGGAGACCGGGAGAGGCCCAGCATCCTACTCTGCTTTCCCCACAGTTCATCTCACTGACACGGCCCCTGGATTCCCACCTAGAACACGTGGATTTCAGATCTCTGTGGAATTGTCTCCATTTCGAGCAGATCCTTCAGATTTTTGCCTCTGCGGTGATGGAGAGAAGAATCATCTTCCTGGCAGAAGATCTCAGGTGGGTCCCGCCTTGGAACGGATCCCCTGAATTGGTGGGCAGCTCTGGGTTCCAGGGAGCAGACCGGCAGGTTTGTGAAGGAAACCAGGCAGCAGGACCTGTACTCACCCTCCTGCTCCTGCTCTTATCCTGCACTCACCCACAGAGACTGTCGCCATTTGTTTTGCCTCCAAACTTGATTGCTGCTTAAGCCTGGAGAATGTCCCTGATTCAGCTCCGAGAAGGCATGAGTGTTCCCGAGATAGCCAGGTGGAGACCAGTTAGAACCGATACAAGTGTAACTCTGCCCTTGAAAGGCGGAGGGAGAGAGAGGCAGGAAGGTAATGGTATGGAGGTCAGCACCCCGCGTCTGTCCATCTGCCCACTCATTCAGCTGGCATTTATTGTGTCACTTGTTGCCAGATGCCAAGCATTGGCAAGGCATAGACAGACCAGGCCATTGACCTTAAGAGGTGTGGAATTCTGTGGCCGAGGGCATCGTGTTGAAATCACCAGAGGGTCAGGTCCTGCTCTTTTACCTTTAGCTACGTAGTTCTCCTGAGGTTGGTTTCTTAACTTTTTGGAGTCATGATGCCCTTATCTGTGAAGTGGAGATAATGGTTGTTCCTACCTTCGAGGTTGCCGGTGGGGATTCACTGCAGCCTGGGGCCCTGCAGGTGTGGTTGTTAAATGCTCACTGTTATTCTTAATAAAGAATTCACAGTTGAGATCATCCCCGCGGGCAAGTCTTGGGCCTTACCTCTTAGGTATTTCAAGTCTGAGAGAGGCCGGAGGAGTCGGGAGAGATTGGGGAAAGAAAAAACAACACAGTCAGATGGGACCTATTCATGTCCAGGGAGGGAGAAAGCCTGCTTCCGTCCTTTAGGGAAGAAGAAGACCGCCGACGAGAAGACTAGAAGGAGCCACATGTTAGGCCAGTGGTCAGGAGGATGTCGTAGGTTTTAGAGGAAAGGAAGTTTGGGCGGGGAGTGAGGTCTGTGGGTTAAAAGTTCATTAAAAATCGGTGCTCACCAAACCGAACTCATTATTGGCTAGTCCTGAAGACAAGTGGCATAAAACCTTTGCTTTAGAAATCGCTCTTGTGCTCTCAGCTCTGCAGGGGACTATTCTTGTGGCTGGAGCGGGGGTTCTGGCCTCGCTCCTGAGAGAAGTGTTTGGGAAGTAAAGGTGACTGAGGTGTCAGTGCCTGGACTTGATGGAGGCCGGCAGGGCTTGCTGCTCAGGCCTCGACACTCCAGGGAGCGCCCTCCACTCCACACTTCCTTCTCACAGCCAGCTTTCCAGCTCTCCAGGCAGGGAGGGGACTTCCAGGCAGCTGAAGTCTTGGCCACACTCTCAGAGATGCCATCTTTCTAGCTCAGGAAGTCCTAGCTGGATACCAAGAATTGAAACGCGGTTTCCGCCTGTGTGTTTTTATTGGCCTTGACTCTGGAGCGTTTTGGAGAAGTGAAGCGCCATGGGGGGCAGTGCAGACAGAGCAGACAGAGCAGACAGAGCAGGGCTGCGCTGTGGAACGGGAAGGGGAGGAGTAGGGCTCCGCTGGGACCTTGGCAGAGACTGCACGGGCAATGCTTTTCTGGCGAGGACAGAGGAGTCTCCTCTGGGGGACTTTCCAGGTAGGAATTGCCAGGAAGAGCTTCCTGGAATGCAGGAATTTCCCAAGCCCATTCAGGCACCAACCTGGTAACTGTAAAAACACCAATATGGCCAGAGGGAGCCATGGGAGGTGAACGAGGGATGGGGATACTGAGACAAGAAGGAAATAAGGCCCAGCTGCTGTTGCACCCCGGTGTTGACAAGTTTTCTCCCTTAGCTACACCGCCAGTTCCTTCAAAGCAGTCACGTCATGCTTCCTGGCACCCGCCTCGTTAGCACAGTGACAAGCACTTGTTTGGGTGAAGACATTTCTTCTTCCCACCTGTAGTGGCAGGAAGACACGGAGCAGGTTCTCTAAGACCGAGCAGATGGGGTAAAGGAGGAGAGAGAGTCCTGGAGCCCTCGGTGGCTTTTGCGGGCTTTTATTGGGATTTACCAGGTACATGGCAGGCAGGGGTGCCAGGGGGCTGGGAGGCTGGCAAGTCTTCACTCTACCTGGGCTCTCTGGTGGTCTCTGCTCCTCGTGGTTCTTCTGCTCGTGGTTCTGGTGGTATCCCCATGACGCCGACCTTATAAGCCCAGTCTTAGCCCAGGTGAACCCACTTACGCATGCCCACACCCTACTCCAGGTGCCCACCATCAGGCATGCATTCGGGACCACAGGGTTCCGTCACCAATCCTAATGGTGGGAGGGCAGAAAAGCCTGATACTCTTCACCTTACCCTACACCACCTCTCTCTCTCTCGAGCCACCTTTATTTTGGGCCAGGAGTGAGTCAGGAAGACTAACTGGGAAAAGAAGTATCAACTCGAGGCGCCATCCCTGATGAGAGGAGCCCAGCCCCTCTTGGTTTCTGCCCCTCCCCTGTAGGGGTGGGCAGTCCTTGTGGGGGGGCCATGTGGGGTTCTAGGGGTGGAGGTGCAGAGTGGCCCCTCTGACTCTCGTTCTCTGCGCCCTGCCCCAGCACCCTGTCTCAGTGCATCCATGCGGCCGCCGCACTGCTCTACCCTTTCAACTGGGCCCACACCTACATCCCGGTTGTCCCTGAGATGCTCCTGGACACTGTCTGCTGCCCCACCCCCTTCATGGTTGGAGTACAGATGCGCTTTCTGCAGGAGGTGATGGACAGCCCCATGGAAGAGGTAGGATGCGCAGGCAGGCAGGCTTTGGAGCTGGACGGCCCTGGCTTCCCACCCCAGCTCAGCTGCCAGTGGCTGTGTGATATGGAGAAAGTTGCTTAACTTTTTTTTTTTTTTAAGATTTATTTATTTATGCATGCAAGAACTGGGGTACAGGCCAGAGGTGCAGGGCGTGAGAGAATTCACTAGTGACAGAGTGGGGAGCAGAACAGGCAGATCTATTGAAATACACTGCTGAGGGGAGCAGTGGGCGAGATAGGAGAGGTCTGCTGTGCCATGTGGGTAGCTCCCTGGCTGGGGATCGAACTTGTGCTGCAGTGGCTGCGTCTAGCTTCATAGGTTGCGTCTCAACCCCTTGTGCCACCAGGGAGGCACTGCTTAACCTGAGCATCCTCATTTGTAAAACGGAGATAACAGTGCTCAGTTCGCAGGGTCATGGAGGGAAATAACTTGCATGAAGTGCCTAGCCTGGTGCCTGGTACATAGTTGATACTCAGTGAGTGTCTGCTCCCCGTTTCTGGATGCTTTGCCTGTGGCTGAAGGGACAAGGCATGTCCAGAGGTCACCCAGCTGTCCTAGGCCAGCCAGCCTGGTCTGCAGGCTCAGAGTCTCGGCTTTCATCTGAATGGAGCACAGCTGTCTGTACAGCATACACCCCCCTGGAATTCACTCAGTTCTGTGGAAGTGAGCTGACAATGCATCTCTCCTGCAAACCATGAGTCTTGAAAATGCAGACTTTTGCAGCAATTCAGTTAATCTCTGATTTTTTCAGTGCTCAGTTGGGTAATGAAGATTAGTTTCCAGCCCCTTTGACTTTGTGAACTTCTCGTTTCTTGGCGATGCCCCAGATACAGCAGAGGCCTCCATGGTGAAACTGGCCATGAATAGCATAAGCCTATCCTGGGGCTGGAAGAATCACACACACATGCGTCCTGAAGGCAGGCTTGTTACTATCATTGCAAGCCAAAATTGCTGACCACCGCCTCCCCTGCAGACAAGCACCTAAGGGGAGATGCAGGGTCAGAGTAAGCTACTTAAGAGGCTTGGAACTAGCCCTAGTGGGAGGACTTGCCTCCATTAACAGGGAGTCCAGAGAACTCAACCCAGAGGCAATGCTGGAACCTACCACAGGCTACACAGTGTTGCTGGAAGCAAAGAAGCAGGCAGACTGCTTTCCTCCCCTGCTTCCCAGCCCTCCCAGGCTCCTCACACACCCTTTGACCGAGTCTTTGCCTTGTAACTAACTGGGCCAGAGGATCAGCCCTGTGTTTAGCAATAAGGCCTAAAGTGTCCCAATGCCAGAAGTTACGAAATTTCCTGATGCTGCGGCTCCTCAGAAGCTGTGGCTCCTCCCTCGGGAAGACACCCCAAAGCCAGCCCCACTGCAGCTCCTGCACTCCAAGGGCTGAGGCCTAGACCAATGCTCGGTAGCTGCCCTGTGAAATGGGCAGGGGATGACTCAGGGCCCCAGTCAGAGTAGGGGGTACCTTGACTCCCCATATAAACTCTCTGGAAGGGGTTACTTGACAGACACTAATAGACCATACTGGAAAGATTTCTGGGAACAATTTCACAAGAAAATTCTTCACACACACGCTTACCTCCCAGCCCCCAAGATGAACAGCCCTCCCTGCGCCTGTATATACAAGTGATTTCAGGCCTGGACTAGTTCAGCTCTTCTCCCCAAGTATGGATAATTGCAGTGCCTGCTCTGTCTTTTGGCACATTTTCCAGCCCCTTTCTATTTGGAAGAAGGGCACAGAGAGGGAACATTTACCCCATTGTCGAGACCAAAGGTCACAAACCGAAATGAGGTTCCAGCAGGAATTTAAATGACCAGAACAAGCTTGGGGAGTGGGGGTGGTTTATGGCAACTGCAGAAAGGGGGTGGCTGCATTCAGTTCCAATTGAATGTTATCCTTCAGAAGCCAGGGGTAGAGCTCCTGACTTTTCAGAAGTCTCAGATCCAAATTTTATGTGAAACTTTGCAGTGTAAAGATTGGAAACAAATTCAATGATTTAAAAGTTCTCTGAGTATCAAAGAAATAGATCTGCAGGTTGGAATCCAACCAAGCGCATGCTTCTTTGTAATCTCGGGTCTAGACCGAAGACCCCTCGAGCAGTGATGGAGCTGATTCCAGAACTCAGGTCTCCAGGTTCCAGTCCTTGCTTGGCTGTCTTGCAGGTGCAGACATAGATCCCCCCTGCCTTTTCTTCCCTCTTCCTGCTGACCCTAGGCTCCTTACCTTCTCTTGCTGTTTCCTGCTGGAAGACACAGAACTCCGAGGAAGTTTTAAAAATAGAACTCTAGGCAATGGTACATAAAGCTTATAGCAAGAGTTAAACAATCAGGGCCTCCCTGGTGACGCAAGGGGTTAAGATGCAGCGCTATGAAGCAATCCGCAGCCACTGCAGCACAAGTTCAATCTCTGGGCAGGGAGCTACCCACATGGCGTGGTAGACTTCTCCTGTCTCGCCCGCTGCTCCCTTCAGCAGTGTATTTCAGTCAGTCTGCCTGTTCTGCTCCCCACTCTGTCTCTGGTGAATCCTCTCACACCCCACACCTCTGGCCTGCACTCCAGCTCTTGTATGCATAAATAAATAAATTTTTTAAAAAAATAAACAATCAAAAAATGCCACACCTGTCCTAAAGCTGACCAGAGGGAGGGAGTTGCAGGAGAAAGCTGCAATCCCAAGGACAGCACGATCTCGGCTTGGGAGTTGGTTTCTACTGTGTGTTAGCAGCAGGACTGCAGGCCATGGAACTTGGGGTCTGCTTCCTCACTGTAAAATAGGGATGAATGGTACCTGCCCCTAAGGGGTGCTGGGAGGATTAAAAGAGAAAACTTGCCAAGCACTTACGTGTGCCAAGGACCGAATAACCCATAGAGAAGCAATTACTGTGACCCCTGTTTTATTCAGGGAGTGACAGACCATGGTTTCCACATGTTTCCCTTCTGCCTGAGCTCTCTCCTCTGGCGCCTCTCCTACACCCTCATCCTCCTTCTCCAGGAAGGAGACTGAGATTTCCAAAGAGAGAAGAGGTGAGGAAGTAGATTGTCAGACAGGAAATGAGAACTGAAGATGTTGATTTTGTTGCTATTTGGGCTGAAAGGCACAGCCGTGGGTAGCAATGGCGATGGTGGAGGCCTCCTGAGGTCTGTGAAGAAAGGGGAAGAGAAAAAGCTGTTCTGTGTTTATTTCAGGTCCTGTTGGTGAATCTTTGTGAAGGAACCTTCTTAAAGTCAGTAAGTATCTGGATTTGATCCCCTTCAGGCCCATCATGAACTCAATCACTCTCGTCTCATCCCTGATCCACTTATTTCATACTTTTGTGGTGTGAGAATCCACGCAGGTAACACCTCTCTTTTCTCAAGGGCCCTGTTGGCAAATGGCTTTCCAACACAATCAGTGTTAGTGCCTTTAGAGCAAGGGTGTAAACCAAGGACCCCAGGATGAAAGAGGAAATTGTTAAAGTTTTGAGTCAAACAGAAGACCGGGAAACAGCTTCTGCTGGGTCTCTGTGTGGCCACTTACTGGGGATGGAGAGGGAGTGTAAATTCATGCCCTCCTCGCGCTCTCTGCCAACACTTCACCCCTGCCTGACCTGAGCTGCCTCTGTCCTCTCCTAGGTTGGTGATGAAAAAGACATCCTACCACCCAAGCTTCAGGATGAAATCTTAGACTGTCTTGGCCAGGGCATCAATGGTTCACAGAGTAAGTTCTAGGCCCCACTTACTTTGGGTTTCTCCGAGGATCTTGAAGCCATGACCCCTAGCCGTGCTTTTCCAGAACAAAGATAAACTCACTCAGCAGTACTGAGCCAGCCCCACAGGGCTAGATTTTAGGGCAAGTCTGAGTATGAGATTTTATCCATCCTGAGCCCCCATAAAGAACCCAGACTCAGCCTGCCATTTCAGTCAGCGCATCCACAGCGACGCGTCCTACCCCAGCCCCTTCCCAGCAGTGTTCAGTCTGCAGCGAAAGGCACTTGAGGTAAGAGCGGGTAGCTTCGTCCGCCTGCTTCCCTGACGCAGCCTGTCCGTGTCGCCTGCAGCTTTAGAACAAACCAACGAGCATGTGTCAGGCCCTTTCGTGAAGTTCTTTGTGAAGACTGTGGGCCACTACACTTCCTACATCAAGAGGGAGGCAGACGGGCAAGGCCACTTCCAAGAACGGGCCTTCTACAAGGCGCTCAACTCCAAGGCCAACCGCCGATTTGTGAAGAAGTTTGTGAAGACGCAGCTCTTCTCCCTCTTCATCCAGGAAGCAGAGAAGAGCAAGAGCCCTCCCGCAGGTAGAGTAACAGCCTCCATCAGTCTCGGCCTGGAGGGGCCTCCTAGTCAGGCGTAGCCCTGGGATGGAGAGGAAGGGAGGGGTGCAGTGGGCTGACACCTTGTAGCTGTTCTACTCATGGTCAGCAGGACTGGGCCCTTTTCTCTTTTAGTCTGAGGCAAATTCCTGCCAATTCTCTTGTTTGTAGGCCCTTACTTTTGAGTCTAAGTGGGTACCCGGCTCTCTAGAGGCCTGTGAGGGCTTGGGAATCCAGGGCGGGAATGTGGGGTGCGGGGGGAGCATGGGGAGCAGAAAAGATTTCTGATCCTCACTCCTGGCCTCTGACATCTGGCCTGGCCACAACATTAGATGCTCTAACGTGCATATCTGAATCTACAGGCTATTTTCAACAGAAAATACTTGAATATGAGGAACAGAAGAAACAGAAGAAATCAAGGGAAAAGACTGTGAAATAAGCTCTGCTTAACAGGACTGACTCGACTTATTGGCCAGTTTTGGACTTGGGCCCCTGCCACCCTGGCAGGATCCACGGCCTTCTTCGGACTCCTGGGAACCAGATCTCTCATCATGCTGGTGTCTGAGTTTGGATCCTGGAGTCAGCTTTCTCAGGTCTTTAGAAGGCTCTGACCTGGTGCACAGACTTGGGTTCGAGGCTGCATTTTCTGCAGAGGTGACATGGAGCGGGCTGTGCAGGTGTCGTAGAGGCTTAGTTAGAAGTTGCTGCAACTGTCCTCTCCCAGGAACCACTACTACAAAATCCTCAACTGAGAAAATAGCTGTGACCTAAAGATTCAGTCTCTTCACATAAAATAAGAGTTCTGTGATCATGTGAGGAGAAGAATAAAGACAAAGCTCTTGTTGCAGCTTTTGTGTGCATCTTTGGATTCCACCCTAGGGTGAGAACCAGGAAGACGAGGCAGTAAACGTGGGAATACATTGGACAAGGAGAGGAAGGCCTGGTCAGCGTGGCCCAGAACTGAGCCCTGGGAGGAGAGGCGGCTAGCCAGGGTACCGTGCCTGCAGGCAGAATCTCAGTAACTGAAGTATTTCCACAAATAGGTCCGTGTGCCCGTCACAGTCAGTTTGGAGCCTTCAGTTAGACATCCTCCTTCCTCTGTGCCTGGTTCAATTCTTTGGGCAAAGGTGGGGCTCCTGCACTGACATTTTTTTCCCTTTAGAAAAGAGAATCACAGTCCTTAGCATCCAAAGGACCTTAGTTGTCCATCTTTCCTCTGTACCTACCTCTGCTGACTGCTTCTGTTTAAACATTGCAAGAGATAGGAAGTTTTTAGAAAGATCTTGACTTAAAAATTTCATCTTTCGTTAATGTGTCTGTGAGTGCTGTGTTCTATACAAAGAGCACAGATGTTTTTGGTCGGTGGGAAAGGAAGCAGGGATGACCAGAAACAAGTTAAAGCCAATGTAATTAGATTTGGGGGGCATAGACATCTACCGCAGGGGGCATAGAGATCTACTGTCTTCACACCACCCCTATATGCTGCTACTCTTTATAGCTTTTTCTTTTTTCATGTGAAATTACAATTCTTTTTTTCACATAAACCTTTTGTTTTAATAAATATATTCATGGCTTAGATTTTGAATCACACTTACAGAAAAGGAAAATATGCCTAAATAGGTAACAGTGAAGCTTCCACTGCTGGAAGGAAAGCCTGCCTCACATGCCTTTTGAGTGTGCAGAGCAGAGATTTAGTGGCTGAACACCACACACATCACCCTCCAGACTAGACAACTGGAACCAGAGAAAGCAGAAGACTCGGCAAAGAGCATGCAACCACCATCTGATCCCTTCAGCTGCAAGCTGCATAACCAAGTAAAAGTTGTCTTACTTTTTGACAAGCTAGAGGTAGCTTTCCTGATCACATGGGGTGAAACTTTCTCCCTTTATTAACAATCAGGCCCAGGGCATCAGCTTACTCTTCATCGCATCTTCTTGGCTTATGGCAGTGGCTCCTAAACCTAGTTGCAATTCAAAAAGTTTTAGAACAAGGGTTAGACTTCCGTCTCCAGACCTCAATTTCCACTGGAGGTAACTGACACATGTTGTGTCTACTAAATTAATCAAGTAAGATGGTAGAGGTGCCCGTGCCAAGTAAGTTGAATCATCCTTCTTTTGCTTATTTTCTCTTACTTTTCAAAACTTAATCTGTCCTCACATTTTTCTGTGTGCCTTTTATAAAACCCCAGATGCTAGAGAATTTGCTAGCAAGCAAAAGTGATTGAGTTCCCTTTCCTGCAACAGAAAAGAAATGCAGTTTCACTGTTGCTGCTAATCCAGATAACATGGGACTGATGGGGTCATCCAAAGTATGAGAGAGTAGAGTTGTGGCTGCCAGGCAAGACAGTACAGTATAATTTACCCATGATTATGGAAACAGGGTCTAAATAAAAATCACTAAAATGCTTCATTGTGGCCAATGGTTGAAGCTTTTCTGCTGTCTCCCTCTCTTCAGTCACACAATTGAACTACCTTCCTTCATGCAATGGAAAGCGATCTGGTTTATAGTTACTGAGGACTCCTGGTTCTGATTTCAAATTGTAGTAAAAATACTGAGTAGCCAGAAAAGGAGTGTGCAAAATTGCAATATAGGTTCAGGCAATTACTGAAATGTCCGGGAGAGCTTACAAAGTCCCAGAAGACTTGTAATTCTCAACGGTGACAACTACGATGAAAAATCTATCTAGAGAGAAAGGGAACAAAGTTCTGTTTTAAATTAAACAGTTTATACAAAGGTCACAGGACACATAATGACAAAGCAGCTGACCTAATTTATTTGTTAGAGAACAGAAAATTCACTTGGATTTTAGAAAATGACATTGAAATTTAGTCATCCAATGAATGAAACTGAGAAAAAGTCTGGCTTTCAGATCATATATTTATTTAAAAAAATAAAATGAATCGACAAAATTACCACATTATTCTGCATGCTAAGAGGATTTCCCAAGCCCACGAGAGATACCATTTCTTGAGCAATTAAAAAAAAAAAAGAAAAAAGACTTCTTCAACAATGTAAAGATAAGAAACCTTTCGATCCAAAATTCAAGGTCTTTATCACTAGTTCCATCTCACAAGCTAGTGGGATACAACAGTGCCACAGCTGAGCTCCTTAGTAAAGAAAGCTTGAGAAGACACTAAATAAGGATGTCACTGAAAGATGATTTGTTAAAATAATAAAGCAACCATCTTTTGGCCTGCAGATATTTTACATTAGAAATCTCCACCATTGGGGATCTGCTCCCCATGACAATTTTCTTCTGAATCCAGAATAATTATAAACTCATGGCATTTTTTCCTGCATGCTTCCCAGGGCCAACCCCTGTACAACACCATGTACGATTTACAGGATGGGACTTGAAACTCCCATTCTCGCACAGGATAATTAAGGAGTGTTACCAATAACAAAGAAGAAAAGTTACACAACATTGATTATTATAAATTATATTTGTTCTTATCCACGCCATCCTCCTTAATATGTTCAGATTCTTCCCAGCAGAAAACGTGACTTTCCTACATGACACCAATTACATCATTAATGGTGATTAGAATGAGCTGCAGAGACCTTGATTCTGAAGACATGTATGTGCAGGTGAGACGCAATCTGATTGCAAACACTGACACAGTAGCGGATCAAATCAAAGAAAGAGAAAACCTGGAAAGAAAAGAGACCATTAGATTCTCAGGACCCGCTCAGGGCTTCCCTAAACTTCTTGAAGTAAAGAGTGCGGCTTCTGACTTTCTCCTCTCTTCACATTCCCCTTCAATTCCATACAATTCAGTAATGCAGTTTCCTCACAAATCTTTTTATTTACACAAATGATCAGCAAACAAAAGACAGTAAATAGGTTAGGCTTGGAGAGCCAAATTGTCATTGGCAAACTGCTCAACTCTGCCACTAGAGGTGAAAGCAGCGCTAAACAATGCATGAATGAATGACCGGCTATGGGCTACACTGGCCCATATGGTGTAGTCAGCTCCAGCTGTATTAGTCAGAAATCTGAAATTATGAGCTCCGGTGAAGGCAGAACTGGTAAGAATAAGGCCAAACATGTGTCAAAGACAAAGCCACGAGGAACTCTCACAGAGTCCCATTGGTGTGTTTTCTGGTACTTCAGATCATTACGTGATGTGCTGCTTGGGACTGGCTCACTGAAACGGGAATACAAGTTGCCGACAAATCATGAAAGAGGACAAAGTACAACACTTACCAAGGCAATCCAAAGCACAATGTATTCATCAATAAAGCTGTTAAAATATTGGTCCAGAAACAAAAGTGCTGGGCCTATGAACGCTGTGTCATGCAGATGCATCTCACTTTTCGTCATGTGTGCCACCTGGGGGTGAAGAGTCCATAGGTCAGCGTTTTCATATTATGTGATTATGTGGTACACAGTAAATTAGCTCTGAGCTCAAACACTAAGTTTCAAGAATTAGCCAGAAGTACTTTCTGAATTTCCAAAACTGAACAACTGGCAGCGTCAAGTGGGTATGAGAACTAGACTCCAAAGGGACATGCCGTCAACGAAGGCCACCAAAGCTGTGTTAGACCGGAGCCCTGATCGAAGCGTGGAGGTGAAGACTGAAGTGTGCAGATAAGCTAAAGACCAGATTAAACTGTGGATTGAAAGGAAAAGAGTTGCAGAAGCTCAAGGAGCTTCTGGGAGCCTCAAGTTGTAGCTTCACAGAAGGGTAAAGACAGTTTTCTTGTTGATGTAAAGAGATTTAACTGAAGGAAAGCCAACTCTAGAACTGCTTAGGAAGTAACAGAATAAAATCTAGGATCATAAAACCAAAATAAGATAAGAGTTAAAAATAGAAAAAATTAAAATTTTTGGTGCTTACCACAAGTTTATTAGTGATTTTAGCAGATACAAAACCAAATGTCAGTATATAAAGACAGGGATGCTTTTCAAAAAGCTGAACTGCTGATTTCTTGTAGATCATCGCAGCTAATGTAATCACTGATCCAATATGGAGGAAGGGCGAAAGGACACTTGTTCCCTGAGCAGAGTAAAGAAGAGAGGAATTAATGGCATTCAATACCCATCAGACACGACATAGACCTGCTGAAAGAAAATTCGACTTAAACCTTAAAGAACATCTTGGTGCCTGGCAGCCAACAGTTTTTATGAAGTAGAATACCAGAACCATTAATGAAGGTCAGTAGCTCTGGATGGGTCAGGCCCAAACTGAGAATTTTATTTCAGAAGTTAAGCTTGTTTTGGGGTCTCCTTGGTGGCATAGGTGTTAAGTCTAAACACTCTCACTGCTAAGGCCTGGGTTCGATCCCTGGCCAGGGAGCTGACCCACACATGGCACAGCTCACCCTAGCAGTGGATTTCAGAAAATCCGTCTGTTCTGCTCTCTACTCTGTCTCTGGTGAATATCAACCCCACCCCACTCTGGCCTACATCCCAGTTCTTCTATGTCAAAAAAGAAGTTAGGCTTGTTTTACAAAGCAGATCATACTTTTAAAAAAATGTGTATAAAAGTGTGTGTATGTGGGCTTCCCCTGGTGGCGCAAGTGGTTGAGCAGAGCGCTGTGAAGCTGTCTACAGCCTCTGTGGCGCCAGTTCGATTCCCGGCCAGCTGGCAAGAGTCCCACATGGCGCGGCAGACCTCTCCTGTCTCGCCCGCTGCTCCCCTCAGCAGTGTATTTCATCAGTCTGCCTGTTCTGTTTCCGGCTCTGTCTCTGGTGAATCCTCTCACCCTCTTGCGCATCTGGTCTGTACCTCGGTTCTTGTATAAATAAATAAATAAATCCTTAAAAGTGTGTGTGCGTCTGTGAAGAGTTTTACTTTAGAGGGTTATACGATGAGATTTGTATTTATAGTGTATTGAAAATGCCTATACAAGCATATAAATGTCTTCATGTATTAAAAACAACTAAGTTTAGGATACCACTTTTTAAAAAAGACTATGCACAAATTCTAAATTAGGTGATTACACTATTTAAATAAAAAAACAAAACAACACAAAACCAAGTTCTAGCACAAACAGTTGCTGGCAGTCTTAAGAAAAACTTACTGCTATTGTTGATCCATTTTTTCCAACACCACCTGTGAAGATTACACGGAAGTAATTTGTACAGGAAAATATGGTCCCTGCCACAGTACAAAGTGCAGGAAAAATTTTCATTTGAATATTCAGCACTGGAATCTTTAATGGGTAGAGAGAAAGAATAATTAAAACCATACGAATTAAAATAAACAGATCAGTATTTGATTCATGTTCCAAATAGTCTTCATTCGCATCAGCTTAGTAAATGCCTTAATTAAAGAAATTTTCCCTCTTCTTCCCACTACAAGATTTATGACAAGTGTCAAGAGATGAGGCTACATAGAGATTAATCTCACTTCTGACACCAATGTTTAAAAAAACAGCTGATCCACCCTCATTAATCTGTGTCCTGAGCTTTAGCAGTTCATCTAATGTATCCCAGAAGCTGGTGACACTAAATCAGGCTCTTCTGGCTGTTTTATAAAAGAAGAATACCCTGCCTTTGTCTTCGTGCATCTTTTGAACTCTACCTCTAACTCAGTAGTTACTAATTGTTATGAGAGAAAAAGTGTGTTGATTAAAGACTAGAAATATTTGCAAGAAGATTTTAAAAATTTGTAAGCTAGAAATGAAAGACAAAACTTCCACTCAGAAAAGTTCCCGACTCCAAATTGTTAGGATACAGACAGCTAGTAAAAGCAGAGGGAGCTAAGAAAGTGTTCAATATGTGTGGGGGGGAAAAACATAAACAAGTTGGCTCACCTCTACAATTGTGTAGAGAATTTCAATATATAAGTTTGCCTTTTAGAAGAAGTAAATAATATATTTTATAATGTACTGAAAGGATACATTTACTTACCTAAAGTAAGGGGGTGCTAAGTGGCTTAAGATTGTGTATCTAACCTTGCAAGTATAATGCCCATCATTTAAAGCGAAATGTACTTGCCCACAATGGTTTAATAAACAATGAGTTCTCATAATAAAAGCATTTCTATTAGGGCTGTTTACACTTTTGGGGGCTACCATCTGCCTACACTTTTCAAATCAAATAGAAAATATGGCATTTCCTAACTTTCTTGTATGTATAAAACCTCAGTAAAATTGGTAGATCTCGGCCTTAATGTTTAGCTGCTCTGTTTCTTTAAGACTCTCAAGAACTCAGTTTGTTTACACAACTCTATGATCTCTTGCAAAACTGCAGCTCTAAAAAGCAGTTGAAATCAACTGTTCAAATTTCAAGTAGTACTGTTGCAGCATTTAATTTTCTTAAATGAACTTGGTCAACTTAAAAAAAATAATCAAGCCCAGAGTCTTATGAAGCATCCTAAATGGTCATCTTCCTTCCCAACTCCTACAGCCCAACTCAAAACTTGTTTTCAACAAAAGGGAAACTCAAACCATGATTGCTTTCAAGGCCAAGAGATTTTTCTGCTCTAGTTCAGAAACTAGGGCTATTACAATCTCAATCTGATGCACCTGGCTGAAATTCAATGCTTGGGCTAGTTTTCT